TATCAAAATGTAATATCTCCAAACATGATTTTCGATCAACCTCTTAATTAAATTTGCCATTTATATGAACTCAAAACTCCATTATTTTCGTAATTGAAGCATCTTACGACCTTCGAATAAAACGAGATTTGGGACTACTACCCCCAACTCATTAATCTATGATTTTAATAAAAAAGTTACAAGCTTAAACAAGAGATATATATCGTACCTTCACTTGGTTGTGCACTAGCTTCTCAAGTCCCCACCTCTTTTGAAAGTCTATGTCGCTTGCCTTACTTCCTTGAAAACATCCCCCTTTCAAGAGATGGGGAAGAATTAGTATATATACCCCATCTTCCCCTACGTCATTAGTTGGTATAAAAATGGAGGTAATACTCTTACCTTCCATATATGCCTCCATTTCCTTTCTCACTCTCCATACCATCCTTAACTTTTCCAATCACAATATGAATTTCAAGCCAATCTAAAAATAGCCAATAATTTCCATATTTATTCAATAATTTTGAATATCAATTCAAAATATCAAAATGAGGTTTAGGTAAGTCTCTAATATAACAATTGTTAAAAATTCCCTTATTTTAGAGTGTTACAACTCTCCCCTCCTAAAATAGAATTTCGTCCCCGAAATCACTCATCGTTGAACAGATGTGGGTACTTGGCTCTCATATCCCTCTCCGGTTCCCACGTCATCTCTGACCCCTTGTGAAATTTCCACTTTACAAGGACCAATGGAATGGTTTTGTTTCGCAACCTCTTCGTCTTTCTGTCCAAGACTTGAATTGTTTCGCAACCTCTTCGTCTTTCTGTCCAAGACTTGAATTGGTTCTTCGATGTAACCCAATTTTTTATTGATCTTTACATCTTTTAATGCTAGAGTTGCTGATTCGTCAGCTAAGCATTTCCTTAAATTTGACACGTGGAATGTGTCATGAATCTCTTGTAATTCTTCAGGCAACTTCAAACGATATGCCACCGCCCCCACCCTTCCTATGATCTCGAATGGTCCAACATATCGTGGACTTAGCTTTCCACGTTTACCAAAACGAACTACTCCCTTCCAGGGTGATATTTTTAACATCACTCGATCCCCAATTTGAAACTCTAGAGGCCTACGCCTTTTATCCGCATAGCTTTTCTGTCTGTCTTTTGCATTCCTCAACCTTTCTCGGATTTGTGCTATCTTATCTGACGTCTGTTGAACTAACTCTGGCCCAGCCAACTGCCTTTCTTCGGTATCCGCCCAACACATAGGTGTTTAGCACTTTCGACCGTATTGGGCTTCGAAAGGTGCTGCCTTAATGCTCGAATGATAACTATTGTTGTATGCGAACTCTATTAATGGTAAGTGGTTGTCCCAACTACCCCCAAAATCGATAGTGCATGCCCTTAGCATATCTTCAAGTGTTTGTATCGTCCTTTCACTTTGACCATCGGTTTGTGGGTGGTAGGCAGTGCTTAAATTCAATCGAGTCCCCATCTCTTGTTGGAAGCTTGACCAAAATCTCGATGTAAATCTGGCATCCCTGTCTAAGACAATCGATATCGGCACACCATGCCTTGACACAATCTCGTTGACATATAATTGAGCTAACTTCTCTAATATATATTTTTCACTGATTGGTAGGAAGTGAGCGGACTTGGTCAAACGGTCAACAATCACCCAGATTGCATCGTGTCCTTTCATCGTCTTTGGTAGCTTGGTAACAAAGTCCATTGTTATCATATCCCACTTCCACACTGGTATTTCCATTTGTTGTAACATTCCCGATGGTTTCTGATGTTCTATCTTCACTTGTAGGCAAGTCAAACACTTCTCCACATACCCAGCTACTGACTTCTTCATACCCGGCCACCAGTAGCTCTCCTTCAAATTCTTGTCCATTTTATCGCTACCCGGGTGCATAGTGTACTTAGACTTATGTGTCTCATCTAGTACCTTACCTCTCAAATCTCCTAAGTTAGGAATCCACACCCGATTCCCAAATCTGTGTATTCCATATGACCCGACGGTCAGTGACTTAATTTGCCCAACCAATCTCTCCTTCTTAATGTTTGCCTCAATCAAGGCTCCTTTTGAGCATCTCGAATTTGATCTACCATATCTACTTTTACGCTCATCCACATGGCCCGCACTCGAATAGGCTCAATTCTTTCTTTCCTACTTAAAGCGTCGGCCACTACGTTTGCCTTGCCGGGATGGTAATGGATTTCACAATCGTAATCCTTAAGGAGTTCCATCCATCTTCTTTGCCTCATATTCAGTTCCTTCTGATCAAAAAGATACTTCAGGCTCTTATGATCCGAATATATCATGCATTTTGTACCACACAAGTAGTGTCGCCAAATCTTCAGCGCGTATACTACTGCAGCTAACTCCATATCATGGGTTGGGTACTTCTTCTCGTGCTCCTTTAATTGTCGTGATGCATAAGTAATAACCTTGCCTCGTTGCATTATTACACAACCCAGACCCATCTTAGAGGCGTCACTATAAACAACAAAGTCTTCTGTTCCTTCCGCTACTCAACTTGGTCTTGAGGATTCGGGAAGCCTCTTCTTGTTTTTCTCCCCAATCAAACTTAATTGACTTCTTTGTCAAATTGGTCATAGGCGTTGCTATTTTGGAGAAATCCTTGATAAACCTTTGGTAATAGCCTGCTAGACCCAGAAAACTTCGGATTTCGGATGCAGATTTTGGCGACTCCCAATCCATGACGGCCTCTATCTTTGACGGATCCACTTTAATTCCTTTCGAGTTGACCACATGACCGAGAAATTGCACTTCTCGTAACCAGAATTCACATTTCGAGAATTTGGCGTACAACTTCTCTCTCATMAGTAGTTCCAGAATAGTTCTTAAATGTTTCTCATGTTCTTTTTCGCTTTTCGAATAAATAAGAATGTCGTCTATGAACACGATGACAAAYTTATCCAGATACGGCCTACATACTCTATTCATCAGGTCCATGAATGCTGCTGGAGCATTTGTCAGTCCAAAGGGCATTACTATAAACTCGTAATGACCATATCGAGTTCTAAAAGTAGTTTTTGGCACATCTTTTTCTCGGACTTTCAACTGGTGGTAACCTGATCTTAAATCAATCTTCGAGAAGTGGCTAGCTTCTTTGTAACTGATCAAATAAGTCATCAATCCTTGGCAACGGGTATATATTCTTGATCGTGAGCTTGTTAAGCTCGCTATAATCAATGCACATTCGCATTGAGCCATATTTCTTCTTTACAAATAGGATTGGCGCTCCCCATGGCGATGAACTTGGTCTGATAAACCCTTTGTCTAACAACTCCTGAAGTTGTTTCATCAACTCTTGCATCTTTGTTGGGGCTAACCGATAAGGTGCTCGTGCAACAGGAGCCACACCTGGCACTAAGTCAATACGAAACTCAACTTGACGTTCTGGTGGTAGTCCTGGTAGTTCATCCGGGAAGACTCCCGGATACTCGTTTACCACTGGTACCCCTTGTACCGTTCCCTTTTCTAACTTAGCGTCGACCACATACGCTAGATAAGCAGTGCACCCTTTCTGAAGGCACCTTCTCGCTTTTAGTGTTGTGATGATCCCCGTACCACACTTCCTGCGATCGCCATACACATGAATTGTTTACCCTTCGGGGGTTCGAATTTTGATCATCTTTTGGTGGCACACTATTTGTGCTTCGTTTTCGGATAACCAGTCCATTCCTAAAACCACATCAAAACCTCCTAAACACATAGGCATTAACCTAACAGGAAATTCTCTACCATCTATATAGATCGTGCACCCATAAACTATTTCATCTACTTTAACTTGATTGCCGTCAGCGGTTTCTACAGTATAGCTCTTCTCTAGTCTACAAGCATCCTTATTCAAATAATGGCGGAAAGTAGAAGACACGAAACTACCATTTGCACCAGAATCAAACAGTACATGAGTATAAACATTGTTTACAAGAAACATACCCGATACGACGTCAGGAGACTCCCTAGCCTCCTCCAAAGTCATGTTGTATGCTCGTCCTGGTCCCTTAGGTAGTTCCTTCCTCTTCTACGCCCCTCTTTCTGACCCGGTACCTGAAACTCTAACATTGCTTATGGTCCCCTTTTGGTTTTTAGGACATTCAGACCGTATATGACCTGATGCCCCACAATCATAGCAAAGTTTGTTTTCAGTACACTCCCTTGATGTGTGCCCGGGTTTTCCGCATCGAAAACATGTCACTTTTGCTGCCCAACATTCACCCCTATGTCTTCGATTATATTTGGTGCACTGAGGAATTGTGAACTCTCCATTTCGTGCCTTCGTATATGTCATCTCCCCATTGGATTTCTTTGTCGATTTACTTGATGCTTCCTATTTCCTTTTGACCTCCCTTCTCTCCCTAGTTGCCTTGATGTTATTTTTCTCCGCAACAGTCGCCATTTCCACAGCTTGAACAAATGTGGTTGGTTTAAATCCACATACTGCTTTATTTCTATCCTTAGGCCATCCTTAAATCGATCTATCTTTCTTTGCTCAGTTGCCACCTGATAACTAGCAAACCTAGCCTTTTCTAGAAATTTGTTCACGTATTCTTGAACCGACAAAGATCCTTGCTCCAACCTCAGGAACTCCGACTCCAACTTCTTCACCTCTGTCTGCGTACAATATTTATCCATCAACATCTTCTTCATTTCCTCCCAGGTCAGGGTAGCGATGTTTTCATCCCCTCGAATGGCGCATTCAGTCTCCCACAAATGAAGTGCTGAATCTCCAAAGGTAGTAGCAGCGTAAGTCACCTTCTGTTCTTCTGAACACTTACAAATCTTAAAACAACTTTGCATTTTAGTCACCCAGTTCATTAGAGCTAGCGGGCCCTCAATACCTTTGAATTCCTTCAGACGGGTGCTATGAAAAGTCTTGTAACTGCAACCCCTTTCCTTGGTTTGGGATGCCACCCTCAGTTGCACTGGTGGCTCATCTTTCCCTTGGACGGACGACTCCATTTTTTCAGTGGGTTGGGAGTTAATCATTGTCTTCCCTTTCTGGGTGCTTTCTTCCTCTTCCTCTTCGGGGCCTTTGAACCTATCACCTAAAATGGCTTTTAGCATGCTTGGAAGGGTATTTTGGAGGACTCGAGTCATCCTTTCAGTTAGTGCCTCATCGGTAACGTCGTTTTCTCCTCTTCCAATTCCTTGATTTTGCTCTCGTACCCTACGAGTGGCCGAGCTTGCATTTACAGAAAAAGTTTCACTTGAGCTTGCGGTGTTACCACGACCATGGCCACGACCTCGACCGCGACCGCGACCGTGGCCTCTTCCTGTTGGTGGTGGTTGATTTCCAACTCCCTCCCCGATAGTGGCATTTCTTGTAGATCCACGTGATACCATACTGAATATAGTAGCGTGATATTAAAATATAATTACTAAATACATGCAACCACTGAGAAAAGAAAAAGAAAGAAACGACTACTACCATTTCAACCATAAAGCCATAATTTATTATTCATATTATGGATTTCAAAAAGAGAGACAATCAATACATAAGTCTGCTATAACTATCAAAATTCGGGATTACTAAATCTTCATCAAAGTATTAGCTAGCAAAAACATCCCAAGCTAAACATCAATTCAAAATACTAAAAAAAAAAAAAAACAATCCCTCTTTAAGGCTATCCATATCCCTAAGGCATCTCGGGAAGGTAGGGGTCTCTAATCCACTGTGCATAAGTCAATGATGGTTTGAATTGCCATAATGGGTTTGCCCTTGGACCCATTTTGAAATTTTTGACCCATGCAGCAAAGTATCCTTTCACGATCCCGACATACTCCGTAGTTACCATCTTGCAAAAGTTGGTCCTATCCCTTACCCGAGTGCGCCATGATCGGGCAAAAATTCTCCGTTCTTGAGCCAACTTGAGTTTCAAAAGATCTCTCTCTCCTCGTAGATTCTCCCTCTCTGTTATCAGCCTTATTTGAGCCCGTTGTAGGTTGTCGAGCATTCCCCTAGACCTATCATTGTCCCACTCGAGATAGGCCAACTTATTCCACAGCTCAGCTTTCTCTCTTTGCAACCAACTTATTCCACAGCTCAGCTTTCTCTCTTTGCAGGGATTCTATCCTTTATTCCAAGTTGGGGCACGTGGCAGGCTGCGCTACCACAGGTGTCCCTTGAAACGAACCCTGAGTTGGGTTACTCCTTGGGGATGTTGGACTGTCACCCCTAGGTATGCGGTTCCAACTAGGAGTCACACTGGTGTGACGACTGTCAATACTTTCACAATGCGAGCCTAGCCCGAATGGTACCCTCCGTCCTACAGTTCTGCGCCCACGTCCTCTCCCACAATTAACAACCCTAGTGTGAATAGTGTGTACCATCTTCCTACAAAACCACAAGGAAAATACTATGTCACACATTAATAAATCAAACTTAATTGTAACGTATATTGTGATACTAAACACCTCACAAGTTTAAGCTTAGGCTATATACATACATATATATATATATATATATATATATATATACCTATTTCTCTTAAACTAATAGCTCTGATACCAACTTGTAACACCCTCATTTCAATTACAAGGTGCCACGTAATAAAATAAAATAAACTCCAAATTCTAGCGGCTAATAAAGCCTTATCGCAGCGGAAGTCTTACAATAATTTAATCGTAAATAAATATCTCAAAACTAACTCATCCCATATCGGGTTACATTACACATAAATTCAATTAAACTACTACGGATTTTATAATTTATAACTCGAATAAAAGTTCTACTTCCTACGCAGAACCTTTGCCCTTTTCCGTTCTTGAATATCCAGCTCCTGAGATGCATACTAATAGTCAGCTTTATAAAGCTCGGTGAGTTCATGGTTTTCATGCACAATCATACACACCTCATCATGCATAAAACAAACAATACCCGAAAGAAAATAACATGCACGTTTGTTTCAAACCCTTTTGAAATAATAATGAGATTTCTTAATTTCCCGTCGGATTAAGGTCTTACCGCCATCGGCACTTCCCCGGGTTACACGGCTATCCCTTGTCCGGTCATCCATCCCTAGGATGTGCCATCCCAATGACTTTTGACCCTTTCCCATACACGACAAAAATATTAACCCGTTTATAACATGCTAATTAATGTTTAAAAACACGTAAACAAATAGCATGCAACCCACAATAATAATTCATATACATGTAAAAAAAGCATAAACATGTACATAAAAAATATCGTAATGCTCAAATAATTTGTATATAAGCATGCATCCTAGTTAAAGTCTCATGAAGACTCGCCTTGGTTTAGTTTAGGTGTGCCCGACACTTGGTAACTCTCAACCCTACATAGGTAATAATCTTTTCTAAGTACCGAGATGTACCTTCGTTTTCGATTTAAATTTTGATATGTACATTTTCATGTAAAACCTTTTCCAGTGCACTTACTATATAATTTTTTGCCCATGATTCTTTTTTTT